ATGTAAGCCAAAGATCTTCTTTGTAAATATGTTTTGCAATTTTCAAGAAATCTAATCGATGCTTCTTAGCTTTTCAGACGTTTGAGTTCGGAGTCAATGACTGAAACTGTTGAAGACCAATTATTAATAATGAAACCACATTTAATGAAAATCAATAAGTATAGAAATTCGATGGATGCGAAGCTAAGTACAGCTAAATCGATAGATGGAAAATTAGAATTAAATACTATGAAGGACAAGATACGACATCACATAGTAATATTATATCCTGATACAAAAGGTGATCTAGGTCTTCCGCCATTTAAACGATTAGATCGTAGAACATCAGATAGTGTTGGCACATATGCAACAATGAATCAAGAATGGCGTACAATGTTCGCAGCTCAAGACAATGTTCAGGTAATTAGAAACATATGATCTATGTCCATAATTAAATTTTTATAGAATTGTAGTAAATCTTTTTTATAATATAGCACACTGTTAAAATGTCAGATATGACAGGAAGTAATGGAAGTCCTAGTCAAAGTTTACATGGAGGGGATATCCACTTATCACCACAACATAGTTTATCTGACATGAATAGTATAAATGACCATTCTCTTCATGAACGTTCATATATTCAATGTATGTGTTTTCAAAAATACTTTTGGACGTTAAAGTATTACTTATTTATTTATTTATTTTTTGCTACAAGACATACAGAAAATTTAATGTAATTTTGTAGACAGGTGTGCACCTTGTAGATTAGAAGTAAGACAACTAACGTACAGAAAACAAGAACAACATGCTGCAGCGTTAAGAGCACAGCATTGGGCTGATAACATTGCGTGGCAAGCTGGTAATTAATAATTATAGAAATATATATTTCAAGCGCAGTATCGGTACTATAACTATTTTTGATTAAAAAAAGGTTCAAGATTATTACCAAGTGGATGGAGACCTAGAGGGGTACCAATTGCACATCTCCATGAACATAGAGCTGCAGTAAATAGGCTAGTTTCTATACCGGATACTAGTTTATTTGCCAGTAGCTCTGCAGATGGATGCATAAAGATATGGGATGCAAGTAGAATGGAAGGTCGAAATATCGCTAATCGTTCTAGGTAAGAACTTTACATAATGTGCTATCAGACTAAGTGTAATGTATCTTGTATTTTAATTCCATTAGGCAAACTTACATGCATAGAGGTGGTCCTCTAGTTGGCTTAGCTATATGTGATCAGGGACAATCATTAGCAAGTTCTGCTAGCCAATCAGGCACTGTATTTGTTTTACGAATTGAATCAAATTCTAGTAAAATGAGCGTTATCGGTACCAGACAGTTAGATCTTCAGGTGATTATACGTTACTTACTGTATATTTTCGGATTTTTAAATAAATTAATACTGGAACCTTGAATTATTGTATTTAGGAAGAGGGATGTGCAGTTGATTTACAGTATTTAGACTCTGGTTCACAATCAGTCCTTGTTTATGCATCACTTTATGGTTCATTGGTAGGGTGGGATTTAAGGTGTCCTGGTACAACATGGCGTTTAGAAAATGACCTAAAACATGGAGTAATTACCTCATTTTGTGTAAACAATTATCAACAATGGTTGACCCTTGGTACAAGTTCTGGCGTACATACTTGCTGGGACTTGCGGTTTCAGTTACCAATAACCAGTATTAAACACCCTACAAGTAAATTTACTATTGTTTTAAATTCGTATAGAATAAAATGTATTGCATCAAATAATTCTCGAACTTTATAAAATCTAATTGATTTTAGATGCAAGGGTGAGGAAGGTAATTACTCATCCCACAGAACATTCCTGGATTATTTCGGCTGTTCAAGGAAACAACGAAATTTCAATGTGGAATCTCGAAACTGATTTTCGTCAAATGGTTCTCTGGGCGTCAAGTGCACCTCCACTTAGTCACTCGCAAGGTGGTCATAGTGTATGTGCAATGTATTCTGGATGTATCGATCGCTCAGGCTTCTTGTTAGCTGGTGGTACTGATATGAGATTGCGTTTTTGGGACTTAAACACACCCAACGAATCGTATGTTGCATTGCCTGCTGCTAATGATGTCACTCCTCCAAATTCATTGGCATATGAGTTAGTATTTGTAATAGAATTTGTTTAAAATAACACTGTTTACATATTATGACTAATGGAATATGATTTACATATATTTTCACATTTTACAGACAACGTTTAATTGATGGAACCAATGTCGTTCAAGAAGTCTTAGCCGGAGGTGGTCCAACTCCATCATCCGGAGGAGGAAGCAGTATTAGAACAAGAAACTCCGAAGAAGGTGGCCAAGGTCCAGAAACTCCACCATCTGGACATCACGACACTATTTCCGCCGTAGCTATGTCTAACACGTGTATTCTTACTGGTAGTACAGATGGATTAATACAAGTTTGGAAATGATTGTTTTCCATTTCATCGTGTCACGTTACAAAGTTGCACGCATTGTACAAATTTTTTTAATGTATCGCAGATTTATTCTGGGGAAAACATTTTGACCAGACATCGAGATTTTTATGACCGAACTTGCGTGCTACAGTAATACTGTGATTTTATTTGTACATAATATGTAATATATAGATAACGTATATAAGCTCATCGATAGTGATAATTATAATATATAATGCATTTCTTAAATGGAACGTAAGATTTAAGTTACTTTAATACAGCGATGATTCTTGTGAGATATAAATGATTTATTTTTCTACGTAAAATAGAAAGGAGAAAGAGAGCTTGTTGTACTGTAATATACAAAGGCGGTAAATCAATGACATTTAGTTTTACATAGCGTAATAACAACAACTAATCATGTGGACATAATACAAAGGAAGATGTACTAACGCATACGATTAATGTACAAAAAAGTATCGTTAACAGAATCCCTTGATATATAATTTATACCGGCAGGTATATACGACTGCGTACTTTCATGTCATTGGTTATACATAGTAAACTTGTATACCGACTGAAATACTCATAACCAGTGAATATCTTCGTATTCCCTGATATATTGTTACAATAAATTCATATTTTTAATGGATTTGTATATGATGTAGTTCAATCGTTCGTGCTTCATACCTTCGTTGAACGAATTTATCTGGTTACCAAGGACAAACTGGTGCAGAAGGATAGGGAACTTGACCCGGAAATGCGTAAGGATTGGGATTTATCGTCCTACAAATCTCTTTCCACCTTTCCTTCCCTCCTTTCCCTTGTCGCCGTCTGTATTGTTGATTCTTGTAACTCGCTGGTAGTTGATAATCATAATCTGGTTGTTTACCGAAAAGAATTTCAACCCAAGGGGCTGCAGACCCAGCGGCAATCAACAATAAAAATACGAACAAAATTTTCATTTTGTTTGCGCTATTTCGAGATTCTTCGCTTTAAGGGCTAACGGATATCTGGAAAGAATATAAATGAGTGAACATATACGCGAATACGTACTAATGGAGAACATAGGATCGGTGCTATGGATTCTCATCTTAAAAAGTTAAATGACAAACAATTACCACGTATAATGTGTATTCGGTAGTCTTGTATTTTTACTTTCGAAATTCACACTTTCTGAACAAATTGATTAGCGACACTTCCTCCTTCAACTTTTCTTCGCTGTTCAAACGTAATTGACTGAACCGGCAAGAATTTATTTTTACGCAATATCCAACTATTTACATTTTTCTTTTCTTTTTTTTTTTTTTTCAGACTTACGAAAGAATTTGAGCTGTACTCGCGGTAAGAAGTACACTCTCGCAATGAAGTGATGCTGGATGCTTGCTGCTGTTTTATAGACCAACACGATCCTACCACCCGGCAAAAAAATATATTGGATGGTATACTTGTAAACACGTATACATTTACACATTTACTTCTCATTGTTTCATATTATACTGTCCACAGAAATTGACGAATTTCGTTTGATTTTTTTTTTCCTATTTTTCAAACGAAGCAATTGGACCAAATTCGTTGCTTTAAAAAGTTGTATTCAAATTTAACGAAGTTTTCGTTTTACTAACGTTTCTAATCTTTCGCGTGAGAAAAGCAAATGTCAAAGTAAAGATTATACTTATCGCGTCATGATTTATCGAAAATATTATTTTTCACTGATTAGTTCATGTCACCATAGAATTTTCGTATACAAACGACATACGTCTTACCGTCGCATTGAACTTGGAGAAGGCTTTATCTGCTTATTGTTTGATGTGAATGACAACAAATTTCGCATTCACGGCTCGTATCATCTTTTTTCGTATTCTACGTGTGTACAAATTCTTTCACAATAAAATACGAGATGATATAAGGGATACCGACTAATTATAGATACTCGTTTACGTGGAATGTCAATGCGCAGCAAATGCAATTGCACATTTCTCTAAGTACAGGCACTCAATATTTAAATTACCATTATAAAAGAATCATTAAAAATCGATCTATTATTGCGTCCGTTTATTTGTTCCAACTTGTTAATTAGGCACAATTATTCCACGAAGACGTTATAAGCTTATCATTGACTCGTTCGTGAAACTGTACTGAGATTATATTACAGACCAGATGATAATTTCGTTGATTGTGAACTGTCCTACATTTGCTGTGTTCCTATGTCAAGGTTAACGCTTTTGAGTACAATATTGATATAATATTGATACAAGTACAATGGCATAGGTACATTGATAGAAATGCACTAATATATTTATATGCATATTCTTGTAATAATCTTAATATATTCGAGAAAAACAATAATCATTATTCTATTAATAAAGAAATGGTAGTTTAGTCGCATGTGACAGTTTTGAAGTGCATCGGTTGCCCCTGATAGATAGCAAATTACCATGCAAACACGTAGTTCTTTGACTGAACCGAGTTGCACGTAATCGTTCTTATTAAGGTTCACCATGACTAGCCGTTACTATTTCCTATTACCGTAATAGCTGGTTTCCAAGCTGTCGATCTATTAATAGCATTTGGCAGAGAAAGTAAGTACGCTCAAGTTTTGCGCTAAGAAATTCGTGACCCTCGAATGGTTTCCTCGTCTCCGAGCGAGTCTGATTCAACTTTCGCGCTTGTTACCGATTTTCTAAATTAGAACAAACGATAAACGAATGCGGGTCACGGTGAACCGTATCTGATTACGTCAATTGTATTTTGATAAATTAAGTGCGTTTAATTTTTTACGCGAATGATAAATTACGCGTCTATTCCGTATTTCCGCGTATTTCCTTCTTAGATGATTCTATTTCGCTGACAAGAAAAGTATACCTTTCCATAGGAATAGATGAATCACAAAACGTGAATGTTGAGTGGAATAAGGTGTATTTTATGCATGTTCGTTCATTAGTATTCCGCGCGTAATGCACGCTTGAATATACATGAATAAATAGCTTCTATAATAAGACATAAGACAGAGAGAAATAGGATGTGTTCGATGATCCAATGTACACATCATTTTTCGTAAATGAATTACATTTTGTTGCGTTTAGGATAGGAGATAGATGTTACTCTTTCGAGTTCGAATCCTAGAGTATCATTGCCGTAATCTGCACTTTTGAATTTCTACAATAACATAATCCGGCGATACAGTCGGTGCAACCATTAATGGTTAAGAATTATTTTTAACGCAATGTTCGAAGAATTCGCGATTCATTTATTAGGTTTAGAGCTATTGATATGCCAAATTGTCTAAATATTTTGAACAGCAGTTTCCTCGAACCAACTCCTGTTAACTCAGTTGCACTATGTGCGTCAGTTCTGTTTTACTTCTGATCGAGAAAGCTTCTGCATTTTGATTTTCTCGTGAATTTCATTAATCGGGCAATTTTTCCTCCCTTTCAAGTCATCTCTGTAGTTGATATGGAAGCTATTAAAGATTTAGTAGGCCAAGTAATACATCTATCTTCATTCTGAAATAAACAAATCTCTTTTTCCTCATTGCAAACATTTTTTCTATCCTAGAAATTTTTAACGACCATATTCGTATCACGATAATGTCTAATAGTCTCAATATTGATAATAAGAGTATCGAGCAGATTAGAGATCGTATAAGCCTCTCGTTAAAAATGCAACGGAGCTTCAAGAAGATGAAGAGGAGTATCCGAAAGATAACTGGTATGTCATTGAAAATTTGGACATACGATAAAGAAGCGCGATATAAAGTTAATAATTTCTCGACGTAAATTTATGTATAGAAAATACTTCGATTGATTACATCGCGGCACTGTTACCTCGTTGACACTTTGATATTAGAATACCAATCACAATTTTAACAGAGTAGAAAAATTATCGTATAAGAGTATTTTCAATACTTTTAGAAACTTCGACGAGTGTTCAACCTCACTGCGTTTTCGTAGAGAACATGCAAGACGATGAGAAACAACCGCTGTACATATTTCCGGAACGGCTCTCTTATTTAACGTACCAAACGGGATTTTCGAAGGATGAGATACGAAAGCTGTATCGAGTCTTTAAACAGCATTGTCCGAAAGGGGCCGTAACCACGAACGATCTGAAACCAGCGTACGCAAAACTATTTCCTTTAGGAGACCCGGCGAAATACGCGCAAATCGTTTTTAACGCTTTTGATAAGGATAGGGATGGTATCGTTAGCTTCGCGGATCTCCTTAATGAAGTTGCTTTGATTATTAATGGTGACGTAGATCAAAAACTCTCCTGGATTTTCAGGTGATCATTCAGTCGGATTAATATAGTTTACGACAGATTTAATGCTACTTTCTACTTTTACCTCTCATTAGATTTTATGACTTAAACGGAGACGGCTATATCACAAGAAAGGAAATGCTAGTTATAATGTCCGCAATTTATGAGATGCTACATAACGGACAGATTATTCAACGGATGGCAAACAGACACGTGGACAAAGTTTTCGAAAAGATGGATGTTGATAAGGATGGAGTTATATCTCAGGAAGAATTTATGAGTATTTGTAAAAATGTACAGTCAACTATATAATGTTCGCTGCTTAATTTCATAAAACATATCACAGAAATATTGGTTTCAAGCTTTTATAATATATTTTCATTGCAGGATAGTGTAATTCAAAAACAGCTGGCAATATTTAATCAGTTCTGGTGATGACATATATGTATACATTGAAATTTCCAAGTTATGCTAATACTAAAAAAGAAGGTAGCTTGAAAAGTTTTCTGTTTCATAAATATTCCTATTTGCATGATAAAATAGTGCAGTTACAAAACAGCTTCCCCAAAAGTTGGATAACAACGTTATACATAATTATACATAAAGTTATTAATAATTCAACAATACTTCAGAAGAGACAACTTTTCTCTTTCCCCATGAAAGATATATATCTTCGCTTTCCTATGTACAATAGTTCGTACTTTCAAAATATTCTTTTCTGTAAAATGTAAAAAACGCAGGCAAGGAAAAATGCAAATGCCAATGTTACTAAAGCTTTATCGGTGACTTCCCTTCTACCGTATTTGCCTAAAAGTTTTCCAGATTGAACTATAACTTGTTGTTGATGTTCTAACTCGTCTTTGGTAGTGGTAACTTTATCCGATGATATTACTAAAGAGGTTTAAAGTAATGTGAATTAAAAATTATATCTTAATACTTAAAATACATTGAAAGAAATAAACTACATACTCAGTGTATCCAATGTATCCGCACTTTTTTGAGTCGTTTCAGCTAAATGTCTAGATATACTTAAAAGTTTGTCAGAAAGTTGACTCGATGTATTTGCTAGATTTCGCTTGTCATGCCTCCTACGAATAGCAGCTTGCTCCTCTTCGGGTATGGAAAGCATTTCTTGCTGCTCCTTAGACATGGAGAGCAGTTCTTTTTTAGCGAGCTTATCTATCACACATACGCTAACAACATTGGCTTTACGAAATGCAGCTAAAGAAGTATTGAGTTGCTGCCTGTAAGTATCTACCTCTGCCAGCAATTCTACTTTCTTTTTCTCCGAGGATTCTCTCTCTGCTAGTGATATTAATTTATCTATACATGACTTTAAAGCTGCTATATTTGCTCTACCTTCTGCATTTAATTTATTAAGTAATTCCAAAGGGCCAATACATTGTTGGATATCCTGAAAAATTCATATTAATCAATGAATTTTCTTAATTAAATTACAATAAAAATATAGCCATAACTGGCCTTTTATTTAACCTCAAATAATGTTATTGTTAGCATATTACAGTAAAAATTTGTATCAATGAATTATTTATAATTAATTTGATGGTAATTACAAACATAAACATAATTACGACGAATTTGTCAATGTTATAGGTGTATATATATATATATATCTCATTGATATTATCTGATGTTATGATATTACAAATCAGGTTATGCTGTGACTACTACAAAAAAGCTTTTGTTTTAAATAATATTTACTTGTATTACAGCTGTAACTTGAAGATGATTTTTTACGATATCTTGACGAATAAATTCTATTGCATGGTGCTCGGTGTCCATCGAGGCACGTGTTTTTTGACAGTTCCTTTACGTGACTCTTACTATATGTAAAAGAGAAATGTGACTTTAATACTGATTAACATATGAACGAAAAATGAAAATTTCATACATGGGCCATTTTTTAGCGTAAAACTTTTTACTCGAAAGATATATATGGGCTTAATGTACTTAACTGTGATGATCTTAATATTACCAGAATTAATTTGTAAACATTAAATTAACATCTTTTTGTTTCTTCTACGTGCGCGATATTATAAATTTCTATATCTTGCCTACATAAAGTAATGCAAATAAAGATACATAATAAGGCTATATTGTAAAATGCATAAAAGTAATATGAGGTAGTATAATTTATTAATGTACAATTTGAGTATTACACTATTATCATACAACTGGCATTACCTGTTCACAAACACAATCTCAGTTATAAATATAGTGTCGACACAAAAATGTTATACTTTTCTATTTATAACATATAACCCTCTCTAAATAAGATTCTAACTTATATCCAAAGCAGTTAAGTTACATAAAATTTGCGATGAGGTAATACTATGCAATTTAACATAGTTATATTAAATACTTCTGACAACATGAAATGAGCACAATGCCCCTATTGTATGTGATTCTATTTTACACAGGTCTTTTCAAATTTAATATGGATTAAAAATTAACGAAGGCAGTTTATTACAGCAGTTGTAAAGTCTGTTGTAGAACTTTGTCCACCCAAGTCCTTTGTCAATACTTTTCCATCATTTAAAACACGATTTAATGCATCCTTAATTTGTTCACTGTAACGTTTTAAATTCACGTGGCGCAGAAGTTTAACAGCACACAAAAGCATGGCAGTAGGATTTGCAACGTTTTTACCAACAGCTTCTGAATATGTGTGTCTTGCACCCTACATAATGAACCAAATTTCACAATACCTCTAATTTTTCTTAAATTTAATCATTTCTACATGTTATACCCATGACCTTACCGGTTCAAAGACAACACACTCGGGGCTATAACTAGCACCTGCAACCACCCCGGCACCACCAACCAGTCCAGATGCCACATTGTCCAAGATATTACCATATAAATTTGGTAGTACCATTACATCAAACTGATGTGGATTAGATACCATTTGCATCGTACAATTATCCACAATCATTGTTTCAAATGTAATTCTAAAGTTGGATTGAACATATGACAATTATAAGTGATTAATGATAATTTATGAAGTGAAAGATGTTTATAATTACCTAGGATACATCTTAGCAATTTCTTGGCATGATTTTAAGAAAAGACCATCACCAAGCTTCATGATATTAGCTTTGTGAACACAAGTGACTTTCTTACGATTATGTTTCACTGCATAATCAAATGCAAATTTTGCAATCCTTTGGCTTTTAACTGCAGTTACTATTTTTAAACATTCCACTACTCCCTTTACAGATTCATGTTCTAATGCAGAATATTCTCCTTCTGTTTGTTCTCTAATAATAATACAATCTACATTTTTATGCCGGCACATAACACCGGGCAAAGATTTTACATGTACAACATTTGAGTATAAATCTAAACTTTTACGTAATTTCATGTTCAGAGTTTGAAGTTCCCCAGTCATAGAATGATCCGGTGTTGCTAAAATACCCTGTGAAACATAATTGATATTAAAACCTATATCTCTGTTACCATTAATTACTAATATTTTTATTAATGTATCAAATATAAAATTACCTTCAGGCATACTCGATTTCTTGCAATACTACTGGATACTTGTTCAAGGGGTGCACTTAGAGTTGGATTTACTTCTGAGAGAAAATAAGGTTCAAATTCAACCGGCACATTTGCAGCTTTGAAAACACTTTGAACGGACACTACTAATTCTGGCCCTACACCGTCTCCTGGTATAAGCGTGCATTTCACCTTTCCCTCCTGTTCAACTACCTAAAAGAAAAGATTATTAATATTGTATACATACGATAAACATTTTTGAAAGGTTATTTAATACATACAGATTCTTGTCGATGTACTGTTCCTACATGCAAACATCTGACAGCTCCTTTTTGAGCAGTCTGTAAATAATATTTTATGCTGTAATCAATAAAAGGTATAAACAAAGTCAGATGAATATAATTTAATGATGCAAACAAAATTTGTTATCTCCGTGTAATTAAGGTACATATATTCCATTGAGAAGTTATATTTATAACAATATAGACGTGAACGTAGTGATTAAATAACACGGTTATTAAAGTCAATCATTTAGCCGACTTTGTGAATTGGATTTCGAACTAGTCCATTTATCTTAATATTTTCCACCTACAAGCTACCTATTTAGTTTTTCAAATTGCATTTACCATTAAAAAATATCTTCAGGTATCTTTGAGAGAAGTTATGTATTTTGCATGAAATGTCCTTGCAATAGTCATTGGTAACTAATTAAATGAATGAACAATATTCAACGATATTTTGATATAGTTGTAATATTATAAAATGTCATTGATCTTGTAAAAGGAGAAATCGTGATAGTTTAATTGAACGTTTACATTACCTGTGAAAATACTTTGCAGAAGTTCCTCGCGAGTAGAGCCATTTTTCACGATGGACCCTAGTTGTCTAGTCTATTTTACTCTTATCGTCATGCGCCAGTAATGTATCAAACTAGAAAATTATTATGGAAATTTAATGAAAAACAAAACAAAAAATATATAAATGTATTTCTAATTATACTGTACAACAAGATTATTAAAAAAAGTATAATTTATATATTTCGATTTTTCATTGAAAATATTAATATTAAGTTAATATTAAGCAATTTATAAATGGTGCCCAGGAAGTGTAATATATGTGTTGTGTGTACGACCCTGCCATTTGAAATCGTTTTAATTCGTGTTTTATCGCAGTACGAGTGTATGTAATAAACGTTTCATGAATATTAAACTTAACGGACAATGCTAGTAATTTTAAACAATTTCTCTAGTTTGCTTATATATTCTACATTGGTTTGTTTATTTTATAAACTTACTGCATTCAACATTTTTATTACGGCAATATGTTAATGGAATTATCAACTTATGTATCGTGCACAAATTTTTTGTGTGCATTGTACAATAGGACAGATAAGCATAAATATTCTTTCTTCACGATAGTCCAATGTTTCGCGCCTGACATGTTTGTGTAGTTATATCAGCTGTATCTGTTCTCTTCCCTGTAATCGGAAATGTCAAATACGATAACCTATTTTGCTGTTTCACAAAATTATATAAGATTCGTTTGTTGAAATGTATATGCATGAAATTTTTCGGTGAGGTTGAAATTTCATACGTACAAAAAAATTCTGGTGGATTTCATTACGACAAGTTTGCCGACATGATTTTCCATAGAAATAAATACAAGAATAAAAGGGACTGCAGATAAATCATATAATCTATTTTTACAATATAGGTTTTTATAAAAAAAAAGTGTTACTATAATTTACAATCAATATTCGGTGAAAGTTCATTAAAAATATTTTACGAAAATGACTGAAGAACAATTGCGTGAGTAATTCTTTGATGTATTATAAATATTTATTTATTATACATATATATGTTTTAATTTCATCATATTAGTAACGATATTAAATGATTTTAGAAATAGGAATTTATGACACATTAATTTGAGTCATAAATAATAAATTTTGCTTTGAATTCATGAATTGTTAGTCTTAATTTCTAGAGAAATAGTAGTAAGAATGAATATGTGTAATATTGTAAAAATCATTAATGTGATAAATTTTTAGCACCGGAAGTAACTAAGCATAGTTTTCGTCAAAAAGTATGGGATTATTTGATGAAGAATGATTTAGTCAATTTTCCTCTTACTGTCTATGATCGTATACCGAATTTCAAAGGTGCTGCCGAAGCAGCACAGCGCTTGGCAGATTTGGAAGTTTTCAAAGAGGCAAAAATTATAAAGATAAATCCAGACAAACCCCAAGAACCTGTAAGATTCTTAGCATTAGAAGCTAATAAGGAAATATTAGTTCCAATTCCCAGACTGAGAACTGGTTTGTTTCTTCATGTTACACCAATCGCCGGTTGCTCGAAAAATGAATTGAGGACATTATCAAAAATTCATGGCTTGACGGAAGCTGGTAAACCACTTGGCGTAGATTCTAAAATAAAGGTATATGATTTATTATTGTAACAGAAATTTGCTATTAGTTAGATCTGTTTTCATCGTTTTATACATTATCCTTATTTATCGTCAGATAGACCTTGTGATATTGGGATCAGTGTGTGTAAGCCGTGATGGATACAGACTTGGTAAAGGCAAAGGATTTGCAGATTTAGAATTTGCTATGATGATGAGGATGGGTGCAGTCACACAGGATACTATAGTTATTACGACTGTGCATGACTGTCAAGTCTTTGATAGTCTTCCAGCTGAAATATTTAAAGAATACGATGTACCTGTTGATATAATCGTTACACCTACTCAAACAATAATAGTAAATCCAAAGTTAAAGAAGCCTAGTTGTATTATGTGGCATATGCTTAGCGAAAGAAGAATTAAATCTATGCCGGTATTACAACAATTAAAAGAAATGGATGAAAAGTACGCGTTGAAAGATGTAATTGATACTATATGTTTACGCGTAAATATACTAAATTGCTGTGTTTTTTTTTTATTTTTAGAGAAGGCAAAATAGTAACTCTGAAGGAGGAGGATTCAGACATAGAAACACAAAAGTCTTATCGTTCTCATTACATAAAAAATAAGAGACGTTCCAAAACAAAAAAAGTTGCGTCAAGTGGTGACGACGTTAATGAAGAAAGAGGGAAACAAGTAAAACCACATTTTCCTAAAAAACGTGCATTCAATAAGTTCAAATCAGGGGGCGATAATGTATTTTCCGATGTTGCAGAAGTAAGAAATATTTGTAATCGATGTATACATATATTTAATTAGTAAATTATACATATATCATATATATTTATTGCAATATTCTAGGAGAAAGTGGAAAGAAACGATAGGAATATGCAGCAACGTCGTAAAAATCTAAGACTGAAGTCTAGATCTCAGGTTGAATTTTCCTTAAAATTGTCAAATATTTCATCTGGTGCCAGAATACGTGATTTGAAAAATGCATTATTGGAGCGTGGTATAAAACCAAATGAAATAACCTGGCTAGGATATCGCGGGATTTGTTATCTTCACTTCAATAAACTTAGAAAGAATAATAGTTTATCGGAACAACCGATACAGGTTGATTCAATAATGGCAAATTTACAACAGCTATGTATTGGGATGAAATCTAGCGGAAATGTGAACGATTTCATAGTAGTAGAACCCGCTAAACCAATATCTAGAATCGAAGTCACGGACGTGACTTCGGTTTAGAAAACAGTTGAATACATTTTAGAAAATGTGCAGTTACTTAGAATAATACTTACTATTCCAAGTAATTGTACAATCTCTGTCGGCATTCGACGCATATTTTTTTATAAATGCGTTTGCTCTGTCAGCGACTGCTAACTCTGTAAATTGATGGTTGACTACAAGTTCAAAGTGTACAAAGCTTTATAAATAATTTATAATGTATTTTCTATACATAGTAAGTGCAAAATAATCGTACGTGTTGTATATAACAAATTAAGTATGTATAATTATCGTTAAGATATCTAATTTATAACAGCCTATTTTTGATAGTTTGCATCGGATAAAAATTCATACGAAAATTAGTGGTTCGTTCGGAAGTCGAGCTAGATTTGCTCAACTGAATCCAAATTTGAAGTGTGTGTTATATTTATACGGGTGAACTACTTCTCGATAAAAATTGCATGTTTATTATTTTTATCGATAAGCTTATGATAATCATTAATAATTAATAATTCGAATTACGTTTACTGTGATCATATAAAAGATATTCAACGCTAAAGATAGCGGATTTAAACATTTTCTTGTAAAATATATTACACGAAGATAAACAATCATGTAAGATGCATATCTAGCACTTGATAACGCTTATCTGACATTACAGACTGACAAATATAGTTTAGCTAATCTGTAGGTAACATGCGAGGCATACGAAAGTAAAGCCAATACTTTTTGTTTATGTATTTATTAGATATTCTATTTTTCTGAAAGAATATTTTGATATTGCTGTACGTTGTAGGTATATATGCTTTGCCAAAAATTGGATAATGAAGAGAGGTAACTAGCGATAACGTGAGTGTGGTAGCCGAGAAAATGGCAATATTTTTGTGATATTAACAGATATGATTAATTATACTTAAAACACAAATACATGTAGGCAATTATTATTTTTACCAGCGTTATTGATAATTCTTTTATTACTAATGCTTTTATAGAAATCATTAGTACGCAAATAGATGGAAAGAGAAGCAGAGATTTTTTTTTTATACGATTATCTCAGTTATACGATATAAAAAATCCGCTAGTCAAACTGTTTTTTCGAAGTTCTTATTAGATAATAAATAAATGAAATTTTTGAATAACAAGAAAGTGATGAAATTTCGTTTTTCTTTATTTCATCTGTCCCGTTTTCTAAACTCGAATCTAATGGTTTGTGACTATCGGGAAAGACATGTACAAATAAATAGAAAATGTGAAGTTATTTTGTCGATTGTGACGACTCTACAGGATTTTCACCTTATCCATCGATTGGAAAAAGAAGAAGTCTGTTCGTACTGTCGATAAAAATTTTCCACTCTCGAATCAAATTAATCTTGATTAATGTTTGCTTTGTAATTTTTCTTTCGATCTCGTCCCGATAACACGTACTTACTTTTACCTTTTCTATCGCTGTATTTCCCATAATACCTTGTCAAGTAAACGTAATTGTTTGTCCCTTATGATCACGACATTTATCAGTATCGATCTTTCCTTATCGTTATCTTCCTATAAACGTTCTTAAGATCTTATTTTTATTTGAACGCTACAAATTAAGAACTCGAATCGTTCTTTTCGCATTTATACAACACAGCTTTTTACAGATTGTTTAAACTGGTCGTAGACTAAAGGCCTCTTTCGTCGAAAACGGAAAGTGGTAAAACTAGCTTTGTTGTTTCACTTTTCGCTCTCTTCCTTTCCGCGGAACGGTGCTGCCTCTATCGATTATTTGACACTCCTTCCTTCGGTGGTCGTGCTCTACTTTAATATCAAATGTCCATTGAGAATTCTTTCTTTCTGTCAAATACCAATTACCAGCAGCGTCGAGAACCTCGTGACGTAACGCACACTTTATTTTTCCTTATCGTCGATTCATTTTTCAAACGTGTACCCTGTGCGACGAGAGATCGTGTACCAAGAGAAGCGATCGTATTTCCTCGTTTGATCGTTCCAACAAAGAGAAAAATATTTTCGTTGGTCGCGATTGTATAATCGATACACCATGCCGAGAAAACAGGGATAGACAAGATTCGAGTGGTTCGATCGTTCAATCATCGTTTAATTTCACGTTACAGCGTAGGATTCTTTCTTAACGACTATTTATAAAATTACATTGTTCTTGGTGTTCGTCGGTTGATTATCAGAGGAGCGATCGTTGATCTGTAGTTATACAAGACACGAGGTATACGCGAAATGGTGTGGCAGGTATGTATCATTTGACAAGGATACGAATCGAGAAACAACGCGCGATCCTCGTAACGTTAATCGTAAATTGCTAAAACATTCGAACGATACGAGTCTTCGTGTGTATATCGCTACGATCTTACGATGTTAACTTCATTTAACGTTATAAAATTTATGGGAATCGAGACTACACGAACTTCCGTAACATTCTACGAGGGAAGTTAAACAGTACGTAGGTAGAAACTATGGATTAAAACGATTTGGATTAAAACGTGCGAGTCGTACGAAGATTGTTCCGAGTATTTCTTGGACCGTGCGTTTGCTCGAAATTTGTCCCTTTCCAAGGGAAAGGTGAGTTCGAGGAAGAAGAAAGACCATGTCCCCAGTACCTGCTTATATCTTTGCGCTAAGTTTTCGGTTTGGCAAAATGGTCCTTGAAAGGCTTTACTTTTGGTCGGGAGTGTTTCTTCTTTCGTTCTTTACAAAAATAAACGATACGCTTTTCCTTATGAGAGACGAAGAAGAGGCGTGAGATCAATCGTTCGAGGTACGAGTTAAGTTTCTCCGAAAAAGAAATCTTATCTGTAGAGAAACGTTGATTTCTTTGTAATTCTTTTCTATATTTTATCATAAACTTCGAGTATATCGTTTCTTCTACGAAGATCAGAACGAAACGAAAAGACGATGGAAAGTTGGATCTGCGATCATCTTACTCTTATCGATTATCACGTTACTTTCTAACCAGTCATCGAACCGAACAAATCCATAGTTCGGACGACTAGATCAATTTACCACGATCGAGAACTTTTCAAATTCTTCGATACGCTACAAATCGGCAACTGAATGTGATTTCCAACGACGATCACTTTGTCGCAGAATGTTCTTCCCGAGAATACGCGTCGGCGTTTATTTTTCACGCACAACAGATTGTTCGGGAGAAATTTACGACGTGGAAGGTTCAGGACTCGCATCGATGTAGTCGATATCCGACGATGTTGCGGTGCTGGCGCGTCTTCCTTGCCTAGGGGATGCGTTTATGCGTGTCTTTACGCTGGTCGTAGAGACGCTCAGTCGGTTTCCGGTTCGATGTACCGGCTCCTGTTTCGTCCTATAATTATCAAATGAAAATTGTCCTTCGAATAATTACAAATACGAAAAGATACGAAATGTTAACACGGCGAAAGGAGCGTCGCTTAATTTTTCTCGAATAAGAGGGACAATTTTTCAGATTTCCGAGTTATGATTCTTGCAATTTTAAAAACAAAGGGAAAGCAGCTTTTGTGTCGCGAAATTGAAAAGCATATCGGTCGAACGGTTCGAGCTTTGTACATCAGAAAGCTTCGCTCCTTTCGCAGCTGGCCACGTTCCAAATGTATCGTAGAAAGCGAAATCGAAACTTCCGAGGTACAGGCAGATGTAGGGTGCTTTCGATCGATGCATTTCCTCCTATGTCGACTTTAAATTTGCAAAGATCGCCACAAGCATCGATCGTTTATTCGGTAACATTGTACGGTAGTCGAGCTCCCTGATCACGATGACTAATTCGAAATGTACCATTCTCTTCTCTTCATCGACACATAGCGAAACTATAAAACTCGAGACTGTAAAAAAAAAAGCAGAATTTCGCAACGAATTATTCGTTGTTAGTCTTTCTTATAACATTACGAAGGGAAGTAATAATATCTAATCTCCCAAGACCTAATCTGGCATTCTTTTCCATTTCAATCGATAAACGAAAATTAAACTGGTCCACGTGTACGTTGCAATTCGTCTTTCTGCTACGCGATTATTTCTCTCCGCGGCTTATACGAGCCATCATCTTCAATCACGAAACCCCATTTATCCCTCTTATTAAATTCTCTCCTAACTACCTCGGAATTACCTCCATCCTTCGTCTCTTAGGAGAGTAAAAAGAAACGACAATCGCGACGGAGTAGTGCGGTAATTAGACGACCGGCTTAACTCACTTCAGTCTCTCTTCGGCACCCTTCATGGCAGTGTTCAAATCCTCCTCCCACTGTTTCTCCTTCCTTTCCCTCTCCTGCCTCTCCATCTCGCGTTCCCGATTATACACTCGGTACTCCGGGATGAATGCCAATCGTCTGAAATCGACGCTCGGTCCGGCGCCTTCCGCGAGCCCGATCGCCGTGTCCTCGGGCAGATGGTCGACTTTCAGAGATCTGTGCACCAAACGTCAGAAATCACAAGCACTCTGCTGGTCCATTCGTCAACCGGAAAGTCGTCAATGCTATCGAACTATCATCTCGTTCGTTCGATTATAGGCATTCACGATCGGACCGATCCTTGGGAAAGATATTTTACTCCAGCGAGATCGAACTTGTTCGGATCCGTCCGATTACGAGTTTATCGTCGATCGGTTCAGATTGTTCAGAGACAGATTTTTTCGCCATTGTCACGACGCACTTGTGTCGCAACAACGGCGATTCTAGCTAATAAAGAATTATTTCTTGGTCGTTTCCTGTTACTCGATTTTCAGTTTGCTCGAATTTCTAAAAGAGATACCGTTTCGCGTTTGATGTTTCTGCTTGTTGCGATAAATGGCGACAGGAATCGTCCGGCTTATCGTGAATTTCGTACAGGAAAGTACGTACTGTGCGTAAGTTGGGAGGACAGCGTATAGGGGCAAGGTAACCGCTCTCTATCGCTCACTATCGCGTCTTGCTATATATTGTTACGTACTGCTGTGTATTATTTTATTTGTATACGTTAGACTTTCGGCCGATACGCGTGTTTATTGGACCGCGCAATCGGACCGTGACCGGAAACCGGAAATCTGACGCTCAGCGACACACGTGTGAACACGTACGGTCAGTTATTTCTGAAAAATTCGACACAGTTGTAAAGATAAGTAAGCGTATTGGCCAAAAGCGACTAAAAAGTAACTTTTTATCGCTTCGAATCGCTGTTCGGCTTACCGTGCGGCTTTACCGAACGACACTGGGAAAATCGCGGGTTGTAAATAAACGTAACGGTTGACGGTAAATGGAGAAACGCGTTCACGCTACCGTTTCAGTTTCGGACCAGTTCGATCTCGCTTCGGTAAAATATTTTGTTACGTAAGAATCGAAACCACGGGACAATAATTAATTCGATCGAATCGAGAACGAGTCGATACGACAACGCGGATCGAATTTAAGGATATCGCGCTCGTTCGTTCGTTTCGAGCGAATTTGGTTCCAGCGAATTACAATCGTAATTACAACCGGAGAAGAGATTTTAGAGTGAAACTGGAAATGGATTTGTGAACGATCAATGTGGTTACGAGGGATTATTATTTCGATTACCACTATTACTATCGTCGGTAACATTACTACGAGGCATTAATACTATTCTAATAGAGTTCTGCGAGAACCGTTGTTACCGTTACCGAAATAAACATTGTCGCGAGGGATCTGCTGCGAAAATGATCGATTTCCAATAAAAAAAGACGAATATTGGAACGCAGTAAGAGACACACACCGTGATCGATATTCTTGAAGTTAATCTCCTTTCGGCAAGGGGCACGATCGCGCGACATCGACTAGAATCCGACGATCAACCTTCTTTGCGACACGCTTACCTTTGTTTCGCCAGACGCTTCTTCTTCTTGTGCAACGGCTTCGTCTCGATGATCATCTCCTCCAGCTCGAACGTCGGATCGCAGTTCAGGTGATCTTTCGGCGGCGTGAACGAGGGTTTGATCTGCTTGTTCAACACTTTGTCAAAGTCGAGTTCCCTCATCGCGTTCACTTGCTTCAGCTCCTTGAGCGTCGATATTCGCGCGCCTGGTGCCACGACTAACAGTCTGTTCAGAAGCTCGCAGATCGCGGAGCTCCAGTCAACGGGCGTCGGTCTTTCTTTCTGAAGAAAGTTCCTTTCGTTTCAACGTATGCTCGATATACTCGGGCTGAGAAGCTTATCGAATATCAACGTACAACGGAATAACGTTTCAAGTTTTTCCTTTTAATCACTTTCGAACGTAGTCGTTTTCGCAAACGCGTTTGTTTTTAAAGGAACGCGAATAGTTTCGATCCGACAAACATTTTCTCTTTTCAAGACGAGGCGACGTTCGACACGGAGAAGCGTCGAAAATACGATTTATTTCGCGTATGTATAAATTTCAGAAGAGAAGAAGCGCAACACCACGGAACAATGATATTTCGCGGTGTTAAAGAACGGATACCAAAGGACGAGGCAGAGAGAAGGAAAGATTTGATCGGCAATTTTACCTGCATGATCTGCAAAGCCTCTCTGTGCGTCGTAGTGGAGCAGAGAGGGTAAGGACGTTCTCCCGCGAGAGTTTCCCAAGCAAGAATTCCCAGGCTCCACCAGTCTACGGCAAAACCGTAGCCAAGAACGCCGTATTCCTCGCAGGAACACATGTAAATTTCCGGAGCTGTCTCGGAATAACGTTCGAAGAAATATTATCCAAGCGACACGAAGATAACGACGATAGAAAAATCGTTATCTCGGTCGTTCGTAGTTCGTAGAGTTCGCCACGAATTATTCATCGTCGCGTTTTACCACGTTTGATTAACCGAATCCATCTATCGATCGGAATACGTATAATCGATTCATACCTATGTACGGTTTTGTTCCGGACATCGACGTAGCCAATTCTCCATCCTCCAATACCGTTGCGATGTTGAAGTCCGTCACGTGCGCGTGTCCTAAGCAGAACAATAAACCTATAATCGCAGCATCTACGTCTAACAGAGACCGGGCAATCGAGCAACGTTCGATATAGCCTCGTGGCGTCACTACATCGTCGTCTTTCCTTTCCCGGTCGATTTTACTATTCCCCTTTTAGCTCTTCGAATTAGCCGAGCAATAATAGCGCGAATCCGATCAGTCGGTGAGCCGTTGATCGTTAGCGATCGTTCGTTATCCGTCGTATGACATCTGACGCGAACGACGCCATATGCTTGACTCGGAGGACCAGCTTGGAGGGTCGAATATCCGGAATTCTTTACGCGTGGAATCATTATGTTAGCCGAGTTTCGTGTTTTACCACCTACGAGAAGAAATATGAAGTTTCAGAGTAAACACGTGTAAAATATCGTTGAAAGCGTACGAGACAGTCAAGATTGTCGCCTATTTTTAACAGCGCGGCACACGAACCACATCTTTCTATTCGTTTCTCTTCCTTTCGTTCTTTATCTTCTTTCTTACCTTCTCGCCAATTTCCAATTTACCATTCTTTTTCCTGTCTCGAACGTTAACGCGAACGATCGTACGTTACGATTAAGAATCGATTTAGTGGTCTTACAAAATTAAAGAAATTGCCGGGACGAACAGGCGAAGATAAATTTCGCGTTTCTGCGAACGAATGAAACGCGATCTACGGAGAATTTTTAACAGCCTGGTTCACCGGCTCAGTCATTGATCGATGAAAGAGTTAAAAGGCGGCTGGATAACGCGCTTCGCACGTAGAGGACGTTTTCACGAACAATAGGGGCGGGAATGGCGCGAGCGAGATGAAACGCGAGCCGGGTCGACAGCCGGCCCCGGTAATTTTAAATGATGCAGAAGCAATTCCGAGGCACAAACAGCTGTCGGATAAATGCAGCAGGAAATTAGGGTTACCCTTCTACGGGGAATACGAGTGTCCTTGGACCAGTCGTTTTCAACTCGACGCCATCGTACGCTTCTTTCTTCGGGCCTGGCCTTTGAATTATAAATTTAGCTATGCCAACAACCGAGAAACGATCCCTTGAAACTTTAAAATACAATTTCTTTCGATCGCGATAAAAGGCATACGTCGTTTAATATTTAATATTTAATACTAAGTTATAGGCGAAGGATTGACAACTTTGAAAATTCTTTTAGAGTATTTCTCGAGTGCCGGTTCGTGGCGAAAAGTTTAAGTAAGTAGATAGATTCTCTTTTTCCGTCAACGTAGATTATTGCTAGATAGACGGATGCCTGAAAAACCGAGTCGCATGGTTGCTTCGTAACGGAGAAGAAAATTTCCCCGATGGACGAGAAAACCTCTCGCGACAAAATTGAACTTCGTTTAAATCGAATCGTCCGTCTTTCGAACCTTTAGCGGGACGCGCGTAGTTAGGTTCTCGCGATAGTCGCGGAGCTCTTTTTCCGGCGTCGTACCGAACGGTCAAAGGGTGAAAGGTAAAATTTCCGAAGCACATGGCCTCGGAGGTCGAATGGAAAGCGTAAAATTATTTATGGGCTGAGTCAGCCTGTCCGTGGTCGCGACTAATAGACAGAGAGAAAGAGGGAGAAAGAGAGGAAAATGACCGGATCTGCGGCCTGCTACGTCACCGGAATATAACGCGGTTCTCTATTGTAGGCGTTCTTTGACCTTTGCTGAGAAATCAGAAGCGGTTCTCCATCGTGGAATTCAACGAGTTTGTAACGAAACTCGATGGACAAACGCTAACTGATCGAAGATCTATTCGTCGTTATGCTACAAGTCGCTCGATCGTTTAACTTTAGCGCATACGAATATCGACGTCGAATCCGAAATTGAACGGATCCCGACGAGTCGAGCATCGGCGGATTGGTATTAACGGAACGACGATTTTAATTAGTTTGTTCGCTTTTGTAAATTGTCCGTCTACCGAAAGGGGAATAAGCTACCGAACGTTCATTTAGACGCGAAATATATTTTGTTCGGTGAGCACGAGGTTAAACGAACCTTCGTGCGAGCAACTTCTTTCCAGACTTTGTTAGAATCCCGTGACCGTCCCCCCTCTTTCACGAACCGCTTTTAAACTTTGATTTTCGAGTTTCATCCAACTCGTTCAACTCCTGTCTCTTTCCTTATCGTTCCAAAGAAGAAATATTAGTCGACGGTTTAATAAAAAGATGAATTTTCGCGAAGGATCGGCGATTCGCCAACTCGGCGCGAAGAATCGTCATCGAATTTGAAAGCTGCGTGATACTCGTCGAAGTAAGACGATAGAAGCTTGGTAATGCGACGTTCTTCTTAAAATTATTTACCGCTGTTGCATCGTTGTCAGAGAATCCAATGGTTCTAACGTGTAACGATCATGCTATTTGTCAACGATTCATCGTCAAAGATATGTCAAAGTTGCGTCAAGTTTAGAGAAATTCGTTCGGTCGCAGATTTTTCGTTTTAAATCGCGCTCTTCCACCGAAGCTGAAATTGCAAAACACGACAAAATACAATTCCGAATCGTCAACGATAAACTAGTTGTCCAGTCATGCAGCGTTATAGAGGTAAATGCTATTGATTTTTGTACCGCGGGTCGGTGCCACGTCGGTCGACGACGAAATATCAAAACACAGAGGCTGGTTCCTTTACTCAGCGTGGAATATCATGGATTTATGTTTCCATTGAAATCGTCGTACGAAAGGGTAGACGCGTTTATTGTGATCAAGCAACTTCGAGGTGAGTTAACTAACAAGGTGCTTCTTGTTTATCTGTAACATCTCCGAGACGAAGCCACAGATATCGACTAAAATCTGAATCATCTTCAACGTCGCTTTTAAGGGCAAATATCATTCGGATTTCAATATGAAAGTTCTAAACTTCAGCCCAGTCGTCGTTATTCGACGGTAATTTGTTAGCCTTAGTATGTTTCGAGGATGCTCGTAGGAAACGCTGTAAACGGGGAAATTGAAAAATTTGGATTTTTCATTGGAAACTGTTTTACGTACCGACGAGAATGCCGCAGTATAGAATTTAAGAATGGAATTTTCCCCTTCTAAATAGCCATTAATAATGCTAGAAGATGGTCGCCTCTGTAAAAGAAAATCTAAGTGCCAATAAACATTCCTCGATTTTCGTTTATGTCATTCATTTTAAAGGAATGGCTTTTTTAAACGAGTTTTCTTTACAACTAAGAGGCGACACATACACGCACGTTCTCTATAGTTACCATATATTTTTCTTCCACGTGAATTTCCCAAAGTTCGATGAAAATTCGATCGATCAGCTGCGGAATCATCGACGAAGCAATCCAATGTTCGCGATCTGCTACGATCGAACGTACGAATTGTTCGAACGATGCATTTGTCATCGACGAACGTGGAAACGAAGCGTAAACGGTTCGGTTGACGAGCAAACGAAGCGTACGTTCGCTTACGATGCTGGCACTTGATTTACGGAATTTCGAATACCGGTCGTCAGCGTCGTAGGTAACTCGACGTTGAATATATTCAACGAACGCGTGGCGTTAAATGTTGCTAATTAAAAAGAAGCACGGTGCCGCGTTTCGAGCGTAGCAAATTCTTTTCGCTTAATCCGACGTTCCTCCCTTTCTTTTCGATGGCATTTATTTAAAAAGAGAGTGGCTATGTTTCCGCGTTTACCGCTTGTAATTCGCCGTGTATCCGAGCCAACTTTCATCCACATTTTTGCCCCTTTATTTCGCTTTCGTTCGTACGAAACGTAACTTGTATCCCGTTCGAGGGACGCGAGAGTCTTAAGGCAAATTTGCGCTCTTTTCGGGGCTTTTGGATGGATCTTCGGTCGAGTTACACGTATACGGGACCTCGTTCCAGGAAGCGTTCACGGGAAATTTTCATCCCGGTTATCGCGCGCGCGTCTTTGCTCGAAATCGTTCGACGATTTTCGCTCTCGACGAGTTTCAAAGCATTAAACGCAAATGCAATGAAAAAGAGCGGAGAAGAAACGCGTTAGAGCTTCCGCGAGCCGGGAATCGTCGTTTGGCCCTGTTTTGCAGTTATACGCTCTTGTCTTTAAACAAAGGTGCGGAACGAACGCGGTGTATACGCGCGGATATCCGAGCGTCGACATTTTTGTCGCAAGCCCGGCGATCGTGAGTAAATCTAGCGGTCTTAATCGCGAGTAGATCGATGGAGTTAATCCCGCGTGGTTCGTGTAACTGTTTGCCTTTCGTCGTCCGTCGACGCGACGAATTCGTTTCGCGAGGCGTATTCCGACGATGACGAAACACCGTCCGTAGTCTTATACGCGGAAGCTTCTAAGAATATTGGACACCTCGACGAACGACAAAGTCATTCGAGTAGTCGATCATCTAATTATTTCGAGCGACAAATTGGATCGTCGGACGGGCCATTTTCCACTACGCTGATATACAAAGTTTGCCGGCGCCGACACTGTTTACCGTTGTAAGCTCTTAACTTTCTCGCTATCGAGTTCTATCCCTGTTCTTATCTATTCTTTGTACCGGCCGTTATATCGATTTTTCTTCTTTCTTCTGGGAACGACCGGTGTCCCCGGTTTTCTTATACTTTTCGTTGGTATGTCTCGAAGAAACTCGCACGTACCGAAGCTTTGCTTTACCGAGATGCGGAGATACCGCGGAGTCTTGTCTAGACTGGAAATAAAGATTAGAGGTACTTGGTGTCGTAAAAAATTGCGCGAAAGACTGTCGAGTCAAGCACATAATTTCGTTGATACGACCACGAATTTATATTTCAACGAGACGTCAACGAACGTAAATAAAACATTATCTTTCCGCGTTACGTTTCTTCGTTTATGTTCGTTTCGTGCTGGCGATCATCGGCAAAGTTAACGAATACCAACGATGATACATCGTAATTTTCGGTTACGTGCTAAATTCTTTAGTCCCTTGACATCGCGTACCCGTGTTGCGCGGTAATTCCTTGTCGGTTAATAGCCCGTGGACACGTTAAATCGGTAGAAAGCCGGTTGGTCGCGGTTTAAGTACGTATCGGGGAATTTGCACACAGAGCGACGTATTTATAGTCCGTAGGAGTAGAACGAGCATAACGTAATTCGTGTTATCTCGGGAACGTGATTTGATCGGTTTGCGGGCGTGGCCGTCGTTTTAACAATAAACCCTACGTCAGTCGATAATACGATAGTTTCGGAATTGCGCGTAATTTACGTGGTGAACGACCAACGTTCGCTATTGACTCGATCGGAAAGAAAAGAATGGACTTTCGCGTGCTTGAAATTGATTAAATTCGGTCACGACTCGCTTCGATTCGATCTGGCTGGTTCGAGGTTCAACGATAAATCATCGAATGCAGTTGCCGATCGTCGAGCGAGGACGCGGATGCAAAAATTACGCGTACGTATTACGGCTCGAGTGATTAATAAACTTTACCGTTGCGTGTATAGCGTTCGCTCGCACCTTTCAATTTTATTAAAAAAATCGAGGAACGTTGGAAGTTTTGAGTGGTCCTAATTCGGTGACCTAGGTAGAATTAGAGCACTCTGTGAAATTTCCCTTAAAAGCGATCGACGTCCTATTAAACCGTTCCCGGCTTGTCGGCAATTTTGAAATTGTCCGTTGTTAAAAGGGGATTAAAGCGTGGAAACGATATCGTTCCTATTTTACAAATTGCCGCGATTCCTGCGAAGAAGGAGGGAAGCGAAATAGTCGGCCCCTCGACGAGCATTTTCTCTCGAAAATCGATGTTCGCAAATCGGTTGGCTTCTCGTTGGTTCCTGCGTTCGACGTTCCTCGCGACTCTACGCGAGATTCCCTCTTTCGAGAAGCGAAAGATCCCGCAGCGAATCGCTGAATTATTTGGCGCAGCCAACGGCAGGTGTACGGAATAGAGAGGCGAGATCCGTCGGTTCGTCGAGGTTCGCGCGAAGGAAACCTGGCACTCGGCTAATGTCTTTTATACGACTGCTGCCACGTACCTTCCTCGTCCAACAGAATGTTATCGGGTTTTATGTCGCGATGTACGATTTTGTGACTCTGCAAATAATCGAGGGCCAGAGCGATCTCGGCGACGAAGAGCACTATGCTTTCCTCGGAGAAGACGACCTCTTGCTGGATGTGATACCTGAGATCGCCGCCAAGCAGTAAATCGGAGACCATGAACAAGTCTTCCTCGTCTGAAACAGAGAAAAGAGCGAGTCTACTCTTTCATCTTCCTCTTTACGCCGATTAACGTTTATCGGAGCAATTATTCGTAACAGATTTTCTTTTTTAGCCCGATTGTCGTCTACGCGAGAGATAATATGATCGACGAGGGAAAATTCAATCTCGATAAAACGACACGATGAAAGAAACTCGGAGACCTCCGTAAATTATCCTCTTAACCGTCGTACTTGCGTCCTCTTAACCGTGATTTTCTGGTTAATAGCGGAATTTCGTGGTTAATAGCGGAAGCGAGGAAAACAAGCGTGAAACAAGCGGAAACCAAGGGAGAAAGATCGTCGATCGAGTTAGTTCGCCTAATGCCCTTAGTACCGTTCGTCGTGGGAAAATCGATATTAACGATGGAAGGACGTTGACGGTATTCGAGAGACGGACGGACGATCGGCTTACCTTGAAAGCTGAACCACAGGTTCACCAAACAGGGGTGTTCCAGCTGCGAGAGGATCTCCACTTCCCGTGCGACATTCTTCAACGCACCCCGCATCGCGCACTCACCCTTGTGCACGTACTTCATCGCGTACATGTTTCCAGTACGATCTCGTTTCTGCACTATGCAAACCTATCAAGGAATAATTGATTGCCCGTTACCGGATGAGCGGTGAATTACGAGGCCGCTTCCGGCCGATTCTCGCATCAGACGATAAAGCGCGCGTTAATTGGAGTAGGATGGATAGTTTTGGGAGAAAGAGAAGCGACATCGACGGTAGGTGGAAATTTTGTTACGGTTGAAAATGAACGGTGGACGAGTTACGACGACGTTTCTTCATCGCGAACGGTCTGCACGAGGTCTGTAAGAGGCGTAGTAGGGTAGAGACGTTTTCGCGGGCGAAATTTCGCGGTCGATAGGAAAACATGGAAGTAGGTGCAGTTTGCAATGCTGATTCGTCGTAACGCGATTCGATGACAAACGTATTGCGGTACACGTGTGATGGATATAAGTGACGATAAATTACGAGAGGAAGAGACGTTTACAGGCAGTTGCGCTACAACTCTATTTATCTAAATCTGTCGGAGACAATTGATCCGCGTAACGCGAGTTCGCTCGCTCTTCTCGTTATCATCTATGATTTCTACTTATCCAAACTTGCGACTCGGTCGGCGGAAGTTCGTTTACATAATCGAGCGTTAATCGAAATTTTTCTCCGATAAATGAAATTCGGATGAATAGAATTTTACCGTATAATTGGCATGGATATAAGATAGCCTGGGTGGGGGGAGGGGAGCAGAGCGTTATCTCGTTCGCAGATCAAGTGCATCGTATTTTTTCCAGCGATCGGGTTCGATTTACGCGAGTACTCACAGGTATAAAATTTTTAACGGAAATTTATTCGCATCGAAACATTTTCGTTTGGCAAATTTCAACGTGAAAATTTCAATACGTACATTGAAATTTAAACGGTCGAATTTCAAATAACGATACAAGTTGAACGATGTATATTAATCGGATATCAGCTCGGTAACCGATGCAGGTATCATCGCGGTGTTATTATCTCTACGTTAATTCGATTATTCGAGGGGACGATCTCGGAATTATGGATTCCGTGAACAAAAACGGACTTTTACGATTCGGAAGAAAAGGAACGAACCCATCGTGCTAGGAGCGTGCCAATAACTTTAGTCAGAGTTATGTTTGTCTCTCGTACCTTTCCGAAGCTTCCTTTCCCGATGGCTCGCAGGATCTGAAAGTGATCGAAGTTCACTGAAACGAGAAACAGCGTGGAATTAATAATAAAAGACCGTATCCTGTGCTCGAAGAAAAAGGAACGAACAAAACGGTTTCGCGAAATCTCGTTTCATCGATAGAACCGGCGAATCGTATCGAACGTTTGCAGCGTCTACGTAGCATCGTAGTACAAAGCGATGTTGTTCACAAAGGACCGATGGAGCGAAAAGTTGCGCACACGAGCACCGGAACTTGCGGTGGCTGTGTAAACTAGGCGAAAAACCGTCACAGGAAGTTTATAGTCGTTGACGTAGCGGCCAGGCGGTCTCCTCCTAAAATCGTGTCGGCGTATCCTGTCATCTGTCGTTTCCCGGCTAAATATCCGGCGACGGGAGAAATTTGAACAACTTTCGACCTTCTGCGCCGCCGACACGCCAACGATCCAATGCCTAAATGCTAAGTAGATGGTCGACGTCCGACGTACCAGACGCGATTAGCGTACCGCATTTGACGGCAAAACGACTTTCTTCGTTTCCCTAGTTCCTCTAATTAGATCCGCGGAGGCAATCGTCTTTGAAAATTCGTTCAGAATGATCTTAAGAGCTACCCTAAAGTCGAGAAGCTTAGAAAAGCAGGCGGTGGTTTTAATAAAACCGTTCTTTAACGGGGCTATTCCACTTTAAACTCGCGAATCTGGCGTGATTTCTTTTTTTAATTTCACTAATTCAAACGCAAAGACAAAGTCTATTTCCCCAGCTTCCTATTTCTCTCCGGAGACCTTGCTCCCGGAGCAAGTTGCCTTTTTCGCCCGCATCTCGCGCGCGTGTGCGTGTCGTACGACTGCACGGTTTACGTTCGTTGCGATATAACGGTTATTACGAATATCAAATCGAACGAAGGAGAGATTTCTCGACGTATAGCGATCCACTGGCAAAGTTTAACGATTTGATGCAAATCGATTCGATCGAACGTAACAGTTTCGTTGACTTTCTGCCCTGGCGGAATCGGAAACGTCGATGAAACGTTATCGCGAACTCTGCAAGTGGTATTTCGATAAATATTCGACGTTTATCCGTTACGTTGATGATTTTTCGCCGCATAGTTAACGATAGACGCACGTTCAACGGAAAAAAGTCGAAGACTTACCTTCTTCCCCAGGAGTAGGCTCGTTCCGTGTCGACTGGTTGGCACCCATTTTTGCCCCTCAGTGGATCTGGATACGTGACGCGAGTGCCGGTGGCCTGTGTAACGTGTAGCCGAATACTTTGATCGGGCCGAGAAAAGACATCCACTTAGAATTCTCATGCTTCCACCCACTCACGGCTCGGTTATTCATTTGATCGAACGTCTTCTTTTTACCACCGTCGATTTCTTGTCTTTATTCGCTCCTCCGCCTCTGCCGCCGCCCCCTTGTCGTCGTTTCGTTGCCCCAACCACTTAATCTTGTTTCTTTTTCTTCGTATTCCCTCCAGCCTACTGTCTCCCTGTTATTAGATCTCTAGCCCGAAGGTCGTTTCTCTCCGTCGAGATTCTTTCGTTGCTCTTAACTCGTCACCTTGTTTCTTCCACTCGGCTTTCACGGCTTTCACGGCTTTCACGGCTTTCACTCCCCGCACAGGGCTGTTTACTTTTTTTCACTACCGTTGCGCTTTTCCTTCGATTCGATATCGTCGCTTTTCGACGTTCGCCTTTTATTCCTCCCCGCCCTCGTCTTTCCTCCGAGTTCGTCAGATACAGCCACGTCGCTGAAATATGTCACCGCTCTGACGACCCTTTCAACGTCGCCTCTCAAACTTCCTATCCCGTTACCTGTCTCTGCCGGTTCGTCGTCGCTTTACGTCCAATTTCGCCGAGTTTAGACACTTGGCGAAACTTCTTGCTCGATTTTCGAACCCTACTTCCCTCGCTTTCGCGCTCTTCCACCGCCTCCGCTTTGATTTGTCTGTCGCCGTTTCGTCCTCGTCCCTCCTACTACGTATACACGTCTTCGCACCCTTTTATCGTTAACTGCCTCCGCCTCGGACTTTCCGTTCGAGATTTCACAATTTCTGGTTGCCGGTCTCGAAGGGATTCGTCGAGAAGTCGCGTAAATCTTGGGCGATCGATCGACCGATCCAAGCGACGAAGGCTGCGGCGTTAATTACCGCTGCGCCGATTCGTGGATTAATTAACGGTGACCTGCCGTTAATTCACGGAATAACAAGCGGCGGAAGCGCGATGGCTGTTCCGTGATGACGGTCGATGGCTCGTGGATGGTGGCCTGCAAGCGAGTAGACGTTTATCGGTGGGACAGATTCCGTAGAAACCGGTTAATCGTCCAAGTAATCGGTAATTTGCGGATTCGCGGAACGAAAATCGCGATTTCATTGATCCTTGCGCGAGAGAACTGGCCGTTTCGAACTGGAAATCGTTCGAAATATCGTTCCCCGGGACTTTATCGCCAATTACAGCCTGCTTTTTCACAACGACCGACGAATACAGCGCGCGAGTGTGGGATCGCGAGAGAAGACGATTGCGTTTAAAAGCAACGAGAGTTCGGAAGCTGAATTTCGTTTATTACGATCCTTCGACGCTTGGAAAATAAGCGAACGAACCATGTTGGTTCGAGAGAAATCCCCTGCGAATAAAGGATCGCGAAATCCTGTAATACGGACAAAATTTTACAAACAACGAGAATTTTCCGCCTTTCCGGCGGTTGGAACGCGCTGCTTTTCGAAAATCTCGTTAATTCGCGTCGTTTTTATCGCGGTATAGCGGACGAACGAACAAGGCGAATCGAAGAACGTTCCGCCGAATATCCTTGCTTATGTTTCAGACAGAAGCTCGCGCAATTTTTCCGAATTTTCCAGTAAAAAGAAGAAGCATCGTAAACGCAATTACTCGGTCCAACGGGAACGAAAGGGACGAAAGGACGAGTATATATAATTTGCATACTCCCTTAATTTTCGTTTGACAAACTACCGTTTCTCCTCTACTTTGTTTCTCCCGTCGGTGAAGCAACAGACTAACGGAAGTTCCGTGTATCGTGAAATTCAAAGGGAGATTTCCAAGGACATAGGGGAAAGTTCCCTAACTCGGATCCCGTCTTAAATTGGATCACATAGTCTTTGTTCGCATAGAAATTGTCGGCCAACATTTCTTACCACGAAGTTACAGTTTACACGTTGTTTAGTAACAGCATTGAAACGAAACGCTCGAGATAATAGATAGTACCTTTAACGCGACGAATGCTTCGCTCCGACGTCGGCTGATGCGGTTCTGCCACTGATTTCCAGAAACTGTAACTTTTCATTCGTACGTAACTTTCCCCTACCGCAAAAACCATCCCTTTGTCGTATCCTTTCAACGTTTCTTCGTTGCCTGTCTTTCCGAAAGATAACGCTCGATACCCGACACCGAACGTATCTCAAATTCCGTTCACCCAGGCTACGCGGTCAACGTTAATTCCGCTGCAACCCTAGCGAGTACGAAACAAAGCTTTTCTTTCGTCTCCTTTGATCCAACGGAAGAATCGTAGCATCTTTGCGCTAATTATTTCTTTCTTACCGAGAAAACGATCCGAGTATCCTCGCTCTGGTCGATTGAAATTTTTGATAATTGGCCAATTATCGAAAACTTCGATTTCCAGCCGATTCACCCCCTTGCTTCGCTTTCTTCTTCGACTTTTATTTATTTCCCTCCGCTTCTCCACTCCAGAGTCCAATTATTCTGCCAATTTTAATGGAACTGATCAAAGGGCGTCGCCGAATACACGAAGAAACGAAGATCTCCGTCGAATCATCGATTTATACGACGATTTTGAACAGCAACGTTTACAGCTTCGAGCAATCTATTCCTTTAGGAAGGAATCGATGTGACCACGAAACACCGTCGCAATTCCCGACGTTATGACACGTCGAATCGATGCAATTCCTCTCGTCCTTTCGTTCCAGAACGAGTTTGTTCCCTTCGTGCTTCAGATTCATTGTTCGTTGTTCTGGCAAATAAAAATTTATTGACCACGGTATATTACGGTGCTTCCACATGCGACGCGCATGTACGTTATTCTTTTTCTTTCTCATCGTTTGCTCGACGGTGAAACGCGTTTTCTCGAGATCGTAATAAACCGGAGATTGACGAAACAGGGAAAAAGCAGCAACCTTATGATTTCTTATCGCGAACTTTTCTTTCGATGACCACGGTGTTTCGTAGGTCTCGTCGTTGAACTACGTCGAACGAGTCTCTTTATTCGAGAAGACGCGCCACCCCCGTAACGTTTCGCGTATGAATAGAAATTTTGATTTTGATTCGCAAAAATTTCGAAAATATACGTACGAATCGTACGCGTGAAAGCGATCGAGCTATATTTTCCTTCAATTGCATATACGCGCACAATGCACGTACGCACGTTGACGTTGTTCGATATTCAATCGTTCGAAGGCTTTGTTTCTTCGTAAAACTCGCGTCCTCTGATCAATTCCCGCGTTATTTCTGCCACGGGATTATAACGAGCGTGGACGAAATGTCCGACGGCTCGATAATTTACAGGATATCGCGGAACGTAAACGGCAGTTGTCAATTCACGATCGTCCTAGTTTTACCCTTTGTCCCGCCTGTTTCTGATCTATTCACGAGCAAGTCGCGGTACGAAGACAGGCCAACGTGAAAACGCGCGTAACTGTCCATGCCATTCTATTATCTAATTAAACGCTCTGCTTGTTTACGGTTGATCGATAAATGCACGCGATTGTGATTTCACGAGATACAAGCAATTAATATCGAAACTATCGCGGCTATTTAATTGGTGACGGAAATTTTTTTTAAATATAATAGATCGTTCGTGAAATACACGCGGATACAGCTTCGTTTCAATTACGTATTTCCCACGTACACGTCGACCTTTTCCTAATTCCAAGAGATACCAGCGTTGATCCGATCGACCGACGATCAACCACCCTCTCTCGCGGTGTCTCGTAAAAAACTTCGACACTATCTTCGCGCGGCTATCTAAACGCGTTCCTGCGAAGCAACGTTTTCCCGCTACCTTTCGTCCTCGCTTATCCGCCCAACGTATTCTCAGAAACAGAGAGCGAAAGAGGCAGCCGAAGGAAGCGCGTATCGTAAGCGGGACGAACGAGTCTCGCGGCGTCGGAAGCGCGGACTGGCAATTTGTTCGTACGGCTAACGAACGCGACGTTGGTCGTGCTAATGCCGACGATCACGTACCGTGCTCGGTGCATATCGTTCGAAAAGCCACCTGAAGACAAAAAGACGACGAAAAAAGAGGGTTAGGTCTGACCCCGTTTCCAAGTTACAGTTACTTTTGAGGTTCGCCGGGCTCGGAAGCCAGCAAAATCAATTTCATCTCGCGAGCCGCGGTACTCGTCTTTTCGAATTTTCCTGCTTTTCTTTAATTTACCCCTCTAAGCCGCTACCGTCCGTACTCGCGGTTTTCACTCACGATCCAAGCATCCTGTGACAACGTCTTCGGCTGAATTTTTCTCTTTTTCCACGTTCGTCCTTTTAGAGCAATAGGCACGTCGTTTCATTGCCGGTCTGGTCACTGATTCGTTGTTATTTAACGCGATCGTTACAGCCTCGTTCGCGTTACTCGTAACGGTTATCCTTCCGCATTTCCAATTGCACGCGATCCTTCTATTCTTTCGAAATGTCGAATATTACTCGCAATTATCGCGTTTCGTTCCATCGGCGCGCTAATTAATCGTTTATGTTCGTTCGTCCACTCGCAATATAGTACGGGATGTAGTACGCGGATGCGATAGGACGGAATTTTTTTCTAGCTCGTACACTGTCTCGAACGGGCGAGATTTTTGAAAATCCTGCACGTCGAAAACATCGTGGCCGATGTGGGGAAAAAAAATGTCGCCGATTCGTTTTTATTTCGCGGTGTCTAGATTTTCTGTTTTTTCCGCTTTCCTTGCTTTCGCGTTTGTGCGTGTCCCTTTTTATGCGAGGAATGCCAGATACACGTTTGAACCTTTTTTCCTACGTGCTGCTATTAAAGCAACGACGGTTATTTACGTTCATACCGACGTAAAATCTCCGACTCGTATACGTCTTTCCTTTTTTTCTTCCACCGGTCTTCGTGCCGTTTCTCGTTTTATCACGCGATACAAAAAGAACCAAGATGCTCTTTAATGCCATTGAACGGTTAACTCGTCTCATTCGCTGGAAAATACGTTGGCGAGTATTTTTTACGAAGTATCGCGCGAACCTTGTTTCACCGCTAATATCCTTTGCCTTCGCATGCACCTGGATGTACCATGATACGCGAAATACGGAACGATGTTACGTCGTAAACGAGGCAACGTGTAATAACGTGGTGTAACGATGAAAACATAATGAAAACATTCGAATAGCGCGTAATTATCCGCGCGATAATATTATGATAATATCGTGTAAATATATTCGCGAGAAAGGACGGGACGATATCGATCGATCATGTTCGACAAGGAAGAAGGGAATTGATACGAACGTGGATCGATCCCGTTTTCTCAGCAAGTTGCCGCTAAACGAACCGTTCGGCGAACGTAAATTTAAGACGATAGGAAACGCGAAAACGCGAAATGAAAGAATTTTCGATACCTGAATCGCGACGTTGTCGAGTTGGTTCGAGACGCGACGGAATAATCGAGCGGAACGATTCGACTCGCGAACAGAAAGGTAAAACGCTCCGATTCCGATCGAATAAATTTGTCGAAACGAACAGATCTAATCGGATTCCATCGACCACCGTCGATTATGTAACTCGCGCAACGTTCATTCGAATTTCGATCGCGCGATTCTGGCATCAAGTTTTGAACTTAATTCGCTATCGACGCGTATTCGTTCGATCGGCTATCTTCAGCCTTTCTTCAAACTTTCCTTGCGCGACTTTCGTACGTGTCCGAACCGCGTTACGAGTATCAACGGCATTCGTTTCTGCCAGCAGCACGCCCGAATCCTATAATCGAAGCGAAAGAAAAGACAAATGGAAATAACGTTCACTCACTGATTCGTCTACGACTTCTTAATCGTGAGAAACAGATTCACCGACATCTTCCTGCGGAAGAAGTTTTTCCCCCGTACCAAAGAGGCATCCGAGACAGCTGCCGAGGCTGACTCGAACGAAACGAGCAACCGGAACAACGATGTCAGCGGTGGCGCGCACAAGACGACTTTCGCGGCTGATTCTTCGTGGCAGCGTAGAAAATCGCGCGCTGACGATCGAGCGTGGTTCGTTCGNNNGGGAGCCGGTGGCGCGCGATGGATCATCGTAGACAAGGAGGCAGCCGAACTACGACGATGACGTGGAGGATCGACGCAACGATCGATGGCGAAACCGCGCGTGAAAAAATCGCCAAGGTCCGTAAAATCGTGACGGTGGCGATCGCGGTCGCGGTCGCGGTCGCCGCACGAGTGTCGATGTTCCTAGACGGTTCAACGGAACGACGC